CTTGTGGCTGCCAGTGGGCAAGTCCAGTAACCCTGAGATGGAGGTGACTGACCTCACTCCCGGGCACGAGTACGAGTTCCGCGTGAAGGCCTTCAACAAGGAGGGCGAATCCGAACCGCTGGTGACGCTCTCGCCCATCACGGCCAAGGACCCCTTCACTGTTCCTGGCAGGCCCGGAGCTCCTTCGGCCACGGACTGGGACGCCACGCGCATCGACATCAAGTGGAGCGAACCCATTGATGATGGTGGCTCTCCCATCACTCACTATATTGTTGAGAAGAGGGATAAGTACACGTAAGTATTATTATTTTAAATTTATTCACCTTGCGATCTCATTTTTTTACATTATATATATATCCATCCATTTAAGCATATCCATATTTATAAACACTTCTTTCCCCTAAGACTTAGCTTGGAAAACTAACAATCTCTCCCACAGCAATCTGTGGGAAAAGGCTGGTGAGTCCGACGGCCCCGAATGCAAGGCCTCTATCACCAACCTGACGGAAGGCATGGAGTACCAGTTCCGCGCCATCGCCGTCAACCGCGCCGGACCCGGAGAGCCTGGCGACCCGAGCAAGACCATCACTGCCAAGGCCAGATTCGGTGCGTATTGAGTCTGCTTCCATATTTCCTTTGACTATATGATTGAGTTTCAAAGAAAATCATTCGATAATATTATACCACTGAAAGTCACTGAAAAAGGGATTAGTATATTTGATGAAGGGCACGCGGCCACTTCACTGAAGTACATGGGACTAATGCATTATGACCTCTCTATAGTTCCTCCGAGGATCGACCGCAAGAACCTGCGCGACATCACCGTGTCCGCGGGCTCCATGATCAAGTACGACTGCGACATCTCCGGCGAGCCTCCTCCGTCCGTTACCTGGACCTTCGATAACCGCAAGCTGGACTCCAACCGCCACGTCAACATCACCAACGTGGACTACAACTCCAAGCTGGTGATCCGTGAGGCGGTGCGCGATGACACCGGCGAGTACACCATCCAGGCCATACATACATACATACATACATACATACATACATACATACATACATACATACATACATACATACATACATACATACATACATACATACATACATACATACATACATACATACATACATACATACATACATACATACATACATACATACATACATACATACATACATACATACATACATACATACATACATACATACATACATACATACATACATACATACATACATACATACATACATACATACATACATACATACATACATACATACATACATACATACATACATACATACATACATACATACATACATACATACATACATACATACATACATACATACATACATACATACATACATACATACATACATACATACATACATACATACATACATACATACATACATACATACATACATACATACATACATACATACATACATACATACATACATACATACATACATACATACATACATACATACATACATACATACATACATACATACATACATACATACATACATACATACATACATACATACATACATACATACATACATACATACATACATACATACATACATACATACATACATACATACATACATACATACATACATACATACATACATACATACATACATACATACATACATACATACATACATACATACATACATACATACATACATACATACATACATACATACATACATACATACATACATACATACATACATACATACATACATACATACATACATACATACATACATACATACATACATACATACATACATACATACATACATACATACATACATACATACATACATACATACATACATACATACATACATACATACATACATACATACATACATACATACATACATACATACATACATACATACATACATACATACATACATACATACATACATACATACATACATACATACATACATACATACATACATACATACATACATACATACATACATACATACATACATACATACATACATACATACATACATACATACATACATACATACATACATACATACATACATACATACATACATACATACATACATACATACATACATACATACATACATACATACATACATACATACATACATACATACATACATACATACATACATACATACATACATACATACATACATACATACATACATACATACATACATACATACATACATACATACATACATACATACATACATACATACATACATACATACATACATACATACATACATACATACATACATACATACATACATACATACATACATACATACATACATACATACATACATACATACATACATACATACATACATACATACATACATACATACATACATACATACATACATACATACATACATACATACATACATACATACATACATACATACATACATACATACATACATACATACATAC